TATTCATGTAAATATTTCCGATTAACTTACATCCAATGGAGTCCAACAACAACAACAACAACTGATTAAAACAGAAATAAAATACTCACAAAAAGCTGGGATAATGGGGGAGGAAGGTTGGACCCAAAACCCATGTGGGTTTTTTTCACAAACCTGCAAAATAACTCATCAGGAAGGCTGCAGTGTAGTTGTAGATGAGTCAGTCCCAGGATATTAAAGTGACAAGGTGGGTGAGGTAATATCTTGTATTGAACCAACTTCTGATGGTAAGAGAGATAAGATTTTGAGTCACACAGCTCTCTTCTTCGGGTCTGGGAAAGGTACTCTGAGCATCACAGCCAAATGCATGATGGAGCAAATTGATTAGCATAAGTAGTTAGCATCTGCCTTGAATGGTTCCTTAGAATATATGCTAACTATGTACGCTAAACAATCTGCTCCACCTTACACTTAACTGTGATGCTTAGAGTACCTTTCCCAGAGCTGAAGAAAATCTTTCTGTGCCTCAAAAGCTTCTCTCTTTCACCAATAGATGTTGGTCCAATAAAAGATATTACCTCACCCACCTTTTCTCTCATCAGAAGTGACATTTAAAAAGCAAGTTTTAGTCAGACATACATTCATACATTGCTGTTATACATCTGATTTGTTACATAAATTATGTTTTTCTTTAGATGGAACTTTTAAACTGAAGTTCTTAAGATTTTCAAAAATGAAAATATATGAAACCCAAGAAATGCTGAGCAATATTTTGCTATTGTAATTATTAGTACAGAACCTAAACTCAGGGCTTGTCTACACTACTGCTTAAGTTGATGTAACTTTTGTCATTCAGGGATTTGAAAAAACCACCCACTTGAGCGACGTACGTTACATTAACTTAAAGTGCTGTGTTGTGTTGGGGGGAGACACCTTCCCACCAACATAGCTTCTGCCTCTCAACATAGCGCAACTTTGCCAATGTAGTGCGGTGGTGAAGATAAGTCCTTAGTGTTTACATTTTAGTCCTCTGCTTTCAGAAACAGGATTCTTCCAGTTATAGTCCTTCCTACATCCAGGATTCAATCAAGTTTTAATTTCCCAAACCAAGCTATTTTACTAAAGAGGGGATAGCCCCTTACAACTGGAATGTCTTCTGTGAACTAGTTCATAAGGCCACTATCCTCTTTTCTTGCAAATCCCTCCTCTAATTCTATTTTTGCTGTGACCCCTAAAGTAAATTTTCTATTGTGTTGACTATTTGTGGAGCTCAAGGAAAATGTAAACATCCAAGTCTGTATTACAATAAAGAAAAATCTTTTTCTCTCTTAAAGTGTTCTTTTAACAGCTAATTTGATTTTGACTCACAACAGTGTAAAGCGAAGCAATATTATGGAGTTGCTTGACAATTTATTTGCCCTGTGATTAGCTGAAGTGAATGCCTTTTTTTGTGTGAAATGTAAAATTGGGTGTTTGAATCTATTTGTTTTTTATAATCAAGTAATAGAATTAAATTCCAGCTTTTATGTTTCCTATGTTTCCTAACTCAAAAATGTTGCGTCCAACATGGGGAAATCTTTATTAGACCTTGTCTTAACAGATAAAGAGGAACTGATTACAGAACTAAAAATTAATGGTAACTTAGGTATAAATGATCATGATTTGATCACATTTATAATGTGCAAGCAAATAAAGTCCAGACCTGTAATGTATATACTTAGTGCTTTAATTGGGCTAGTTTCACAAAGCTATAAAAATTATGAACCAAATCAGCTGGGAGGAAGAATGTAATCAGAAGACTGTGAATGATAATTGACAGTCTTTTAAGAACACTTTACAAGATGCACCAGAATTGAAGGCAGCTCTTATATATATTGTATAAATGGAAGACAAGGAAGTTGATAATAATGACAATAAATCAGAAGTAAGGAAGTATAGAAAATTGATAAGGGAAGGAAAGAGACGCCAGGGGAAATCTATGTCCAACAGACTTAGGGACACTAAAAAGGAGTCCAAGTATACTAGGAACAAAAATTTTTTTGACAATGGTATTGGTCCGTTACTAGATGAAAACAGTAGAATTATCATAATAATGCAGAGAAGGCAGAAGTGTTCAATAAATATTGTGGATCATATTTGGGGAACAAACAGATGATATAGTCTCATCATATGGTGATGATAACACTCTCTCCATTCCACTAGTATTTCAGGAGGATGTTAAACAGAAGCTACTTAAGTTAGACATTTTGAAATCAGCAGATACAGATAAATTGCATCCAGGAGTTTTAAAAGAGCTGTCTGAGGAGCTCACTGGACTCTTAATGTTGAAGTCTTTGAGCACTGGGGAAGTTCCAGAAGACCGGAAGAAAGCTAATGTGCCAATTTATAAAAATTGAAAAGGAGATAACCCAGGTAACTATAGGTCTCTCAGCATGACATCTGTCCCAGGCAAGATAATGTAGCAGCTGATATGGGACACAAATGATAAAGAATTAAAGCAGTCTAATGTAATTAATGCAAATCAACGAGGATTTATGGAAAACAGATCCTGTCAAACTAATTTATCTTTTTTGATGAGTTTACATGTTTGGTTGATAAAGGTAATAGTGTTGATGAATATACTTAGACTTCTGGAAGGTGTTTGAGTTTGTACTCAACAACATGTTCGTTAAAAAAAAACTAGAATGTCATAAAATTAACATGCCACACATTAAAAAGATTAAAAACTGGCTAACTAATAGGTCTCAAAATATAACTGAAATGAGGAATTGTCATCAAGCAGGTGTGTTTCCAGTGAGGTCCTCCAGGGATCAGATCTTGGTTCTACATTTAACATTTTTATCAATGACCGGAAATAAAATATAAAATCATCACTGATAAAGTGGGCAGATGACACAAAAATGGGGGAGGGTAAATAATGAAGAAAACAGGTCACTGATTCAGCGCAATCGGGATCACTTGGTAAACTGGGCACAAGCAAACAACAGGAGTTTTAATGCAGCTAAATGTAAATGTATTAATCTAGGAAAAAGATACAAAACTGGGATTTTATGTCAAGCTGGGAGTACCTTAAACCAAATATGTGTAGAGTCTAAGAATCTAAGAATTGAGGTTGCTTGACGCAATGAGTTCATTAATGGGACATCCTATTGGTCATTCTCACCAATTGTGGCTAAGTCACAAGAAATAAAAGCAATCAAATGTCTTTTAAATTATTCTGAACCACGATATCTATCTGAACCATCACACATTTTATCATAAGTAATGGTTAACTTATAATGTTACCCTCATCTTTCCTCCCCTCTTTCTTAATATTTGTCAAACTCAGTTGTTGCATCTTGTCTTCAATTACACGGTAAGCTCTTTGAGGAAGGGCCAATGACTACTTATGTGTTTTTTGTACAGTATAATGGTAACTTGATTTTCACTAGCATCTTGGTGCACTTCCACATGACAAATAATTAATAATAAAATGTGTGCAATACAGTTTTCCTAGTTAAAAAAACAACATTAGTAACAAGCACGCTGTTCCATCCTTTCATATTAAACTAGTGTATTATAAAGTCCTTCCCAGAGGTACTACTCCTGGATGTTAGATTGTAGTGTAGCAAGGGTCATGGCATCATTCACACCAGGGAACAATAGCTCCAATGAGAAATATAATCCCAGTACACATCAGCAACAGATGTCAGTGTGGTCAGACATATTTGATCATTTAATAAATAACTTGCTCATAACTTTTCATATACAGAACTTCCTTTTGAGAGTTCATCAACGGGAATAATTTGCTGATTTAAAAACATACAGCAAACAAAGAAAACATTTCAGAGTTTGCCCTGTGCCATGTTATAACTCATTAAAATATACCTTGTCTTTAATTTACATCATTTAAAAATAAAAGCATTGCACTAGATAATATCTAGAAGTCAGAAAAGAAAATCACATTATTTAGGATAATTTCACAATTTTTTTGTCTCCATTTAGTTTTGTTCAATTCTTCTGTCCCTCAAGTTGTACGTTATTTGCTGTGGATATTTCTTACATTGTAGATATGAATACCCTTACCCGTTCCTCAGTGCACACATGAATTTTCATGTTTTTGATGTGAAACCCATTACTGCTCAAAAAATGGACCCTTTAAGAAAAAATTTGAGTACCCTTGTATTTTGAGTATTTTTCATTTTGTTACAGATAACACTTTATCTCTAATAGCTGCTCAATATCTGCCTCAGATTGTATTGTAATCCATGGTGAAAAGCAATTACACCCTAACATCAATTTTAAGGCTGTCAAGCAAACTAGTGCATAGCCAGAAGGAAGTGGTGGCGAATAGTGCAGAATACTCAAAGAGAGTGAAAGATGTGAAAATATGGTAAAGCCTAGGCATTGATGGAGCATACCAGCAATGGAAGTAGCAGTAGAAAGAAAAAAAATTTCAGCCTCCTTTGTATTATGAATGTCTGATGCCATTTCACAGGGACACCCATGCAGGGTTCATCCTGTTTGTAATCCTCACACAAATTGCTCTTTAGGACAACAAAATGTGCAAAGAAACACTATGGTAGCCATGTTGTATCTACCATTGTACAGAGCACCATGAAGGAATCTTGTACTGAGTGACAACTGCGGTGGGAGGGACACTGAATTTGCTTTGTACCATTGTTGATGATGATGATGACTACTATAAACAAGATCATGGGTTTCCAATATATATTCATTTAACAGATGTGATTATGATTTTGACTATCTTGACTGAACACAGACATTTGATTTTTAACACTAACATCACAAAAATATTTTAAAAAAATCCCCAAAACACATTTCCCTCCACCTATCACATTCAAAAGTCTGATCAAATACAAAGTATACAAAATATAATGGCATTCATTTTTTTTGCCTATAAAAATGCGATGCTCAAGTACTCATTGAATCAAAATTCTTTTGCAAGCAACATTAACAGAAATAAAACTGTTCTTTTGCCATACATTAGAGGAAAGAGAACCACGAGACCGATGGGTTACCTGCCCGGGCTTTGCATTCTCACAGACAACTACATCATATTCTCTGGCAAGCTCTGGAGGGTTGTCGTTGACATCCAGGATTCTAATATAAACTGGAACATGGCTTAGCAGGCCAGGGTTGTCTGTAATACATACAAAAATGGATTCAGTCATTTGACAGTTTTAATACACACTCTAAAGCCTCAATTTAAACAAAATATCTTAAAATCATGGTTTGTTGGAGGCTCCAGCTACTACAATAGAACTTTCAGTAAAGCTAATTTTATAAAGATCCTATTTGCTGAGTCTCATTAACATTTTGAAAAATGAAAAAATGAATAGACAGGCACAGCATGAATACTAAATCGCTATTTTGTCATATCAAGAAAATTACAAGTTACTCAGGAACTGAAGTGGGAGAAAGTTGTCAGAGTTTATTGGATGGTGTCACACTGTATGCCAAGAAATGATCAATTGGCTTCACAATTAACCTGGAAGTGTCACTGCAGTGTTGAAGAAATCTAAACTTAAATATAGTACTTTTGTTTTCCTCCATCCCTCAAAGATTTCAGGGTATGAAAATAAAATACTGAAGTGATAAGAGAAGAAAAAACAAGCAAACATATTTAAACCATTTTGTCAAACTGGGCTCCAGATTCTGTGCAAGATATTACACAGCTGCAAATTATATAAATATAATAAAGTCAGCCTTGATGCTGTTTCATTGAAGTCAATGGGAGTTTTGCAATTGGCTTTAACGGTGCAGGATCAATCACATAAACAATAATAAAATAAATAACAATAAAGGCTTAAGTTGTTTAGGTTAAAAAAAACCCCAGAGTTTATTCTACCAGATTAGGTCTGTCTCTGATTTCTAAAAAAATCAAAACAAAAAGTACAATAAACAGACTTGTTTCAATTAACAGTTTTACATGACGGAATGGGAAGGAAATGCATGTTTCCTTGATCTGTACACATATTCTCTCATTCTCATTACCTTACATTGGCTTTTTATATTTCATTATATAAATTTTATGTGAAGAACCTTTTATAATTAGCATTCTTCATTATAATACCCTCAGCTCCTGTAACAATATTTCTTCAAAAAAAAAATTCAATATGCATCTCAGAACAGAAGAAAAAAAATCTTTCCTAACTGGTTAAAAATGTAGACCCTTTGCTGAAAATTGTGGACTTAATTTTTATATCCTCCACTGGAACTTAACTAGCTGGGTCCACGATTTCAGGCACTGCATAGATGTAAGTTGCTTGTAACTGCCACGGAGAACTAGGGGTGTGTGTGTGTGTGTGTGTGTGTGTGTGTGTGTGTGTGTGTGTGTGTGTGTGTGTGTGTGTGTGAGAGAGAGAGAGAGAGAGTAGTATTAGTAA